TATAAACTTTTATTAATAAATTTGGATTTAATCAGCTGTAATTCAGCAGCCGAATAACCCAATTTGGACTAGTATAAGTAACAAGAGTATAGTCAAAAAGGAGGAGTAATCAATATAGGTACTGTGCAACTTTCTCCTTACCCATCCTATTCTGTTATTGGACATTTGCTCCATTATACAACCCCAATACACTATATTCATGGGATTGCTACACCTATTACAACCCTCTTGTGACACTAGATCTATTGGTAGATCTGTGTCATTATCTGACAGCTTGGACCAAATTCATATGCCTCTTTTGAGGAGAAGACCCGCCCTATTGTTACACGGCATAAGACAAGTTCAAGCGACTGACTCACCGGATTTTCACGCCAACAATATAATTATAGAATCTTAAATAGATATACTTTGGAAACTTTTAAAAGTCTTTATAAAAGTTTTATTAAATAACCATATCAATTAAGTAATAAAAAAAATATTGAAATGTGACCTATGGGTCTATAGCATAGTGGTAATACTCCATAGGTCACCAGAAGAAGGTCTAGGGTTCAAACCCACCTGGTTACAAAAATTTATCACCTTCATAATTGGTTGACCGGCTTCCAATACATGTCGTACCCAATCAGCTAAAAATCATCCACCAAATCAAGCTAGGCTGCATAAAGATGGAACCTCTGGTCTTTCTGACGATCGCAGGCTGAAAACAGGTCGAAACAGGAAAGGTTGCACAAGGCAAGGCTTCTGGTCTAACTCTGGTATAAAGCCCACAACCCAAAACTGGAACGGCAGACTCCGTATCACCATCCTTCCTATTCAGGTTAGCTAGCTTCCTGATATAGGTCGTACTCAATCAGCTAGTACCTCAAACTGGATCGGCAGACTCCAAAATTCGATTGGAATTCCACCTCCCTATTTGATGTTGACGCAATCCGGATTGATAACCCAATTGGGAAAGAGTCGGGTCACAAGTCAAAAAGGAAACCGCTAGGAAGGTTTTTCACTGTTGGTATAGGATTTTCCTTACCTTATATTTACAAGTAGGGAGTCATAAGCATAAAACCAGGGTATGGACCCACCGACTAGGTGTAAGTTGGTATTCTGGTAAAAAGGCACAATAAGCTAGGATTAATTTATAAAAATATGTAAAAGATTCTTAATGTAATGACTATAAACTCTCGTTTAATAAAAAAGTTTTGCATTTAATGTCTGTTTGTGATTAAAAAAAAAAAAAAAAAAAGAATAAAAAAATAAAAAATTGTTTTAAACTTTTTTTATATAATTAAAAAATAAGTAAAACTTTCAAACTTGAATAGATTTTAATTAAAAAATTTATTTTATAATATTAGTTGTTTTGATTTTTGAATTCTTAAGTTTAAACTTATTTATAATAAAAAAAGTAAAATATTTTTCCTTAACAAAAATTACTATAAAAAAATTTTTTTTAGCAAAACAAATATAATTAAGAAAAAGTTTTTTTAATTATATTTTATATTAATTATAACTTTATTTAATTAATAAATAATTTGAAATAAATAAATAAAATAAAGTTAGAATTTTTAATAATAATATCAAAATATTATTTTTGTATTGGTTTGATACTTAAATTTTATAAATTTATATAAATAAATTATAACTTATATTGTATATTAAATTAATATTAAATTAATATTACTTTAATATTAATTATATAATTTTTTAAAGCTTTAAATAAAACAAAATAAAAAATTTTTTAATTATTATTTTATTATTATTTTTTTGATTTTTTCCATAGATAAACATCATTTCTTTATTTTGATATTGTATATAACAAAGTATATATTGTTGAAAGAAACAATATCTCTTTTATTATTTTAGGAAAGTTAAATATTAATTTGTTTACTTAACATTATCTAACTAATATTATAAAAAATTTCAAAAGCAATATTAAAATGCTAAATAAAACTGAGTAGTGGCTATGCCTACCAACTCAAGAAGTTTTATGAAATTTTTTGATTTTTTGAATATAAGAAAAATGAAAAAATATATATCAATAAAATAACTAGAGCTAAAATTAAATTAAATAAACAATAAGATTTTTAATAGTAAAATATATATATCCAGAAAAATCCTTTGCTTGATTGTAGAAACCAGAGTCTATTAAGTTTTCCCATTGTTTATATGTGCTTTGATAATAAAAAAATTATAGTGTAGTTGACATTGTTTGGAGTTATTATTATTATTGTTATTGTTGTTGTTATACTGAAAAACCAGTTTAAATAGGTTCAGTTTTTGCTTTATTATTTTGACAAAATCCAATTGAATGATTGGAGAGTGATGATCATCTGAAAAAAGTAAACTGATTTTGGTTTTTTGAGTGGAATTTTTTAAAAATTTTGAAATAGTGCAGCAAATATTACTATTGTGGAGTTATATATGAAGATTGATTTAAAACAAACATTAGATTTTATAACTTTGTTTAAATATATTTTTTGGAAAGTATTTTGTTTAGTGAGTATGATAGTATTGATATAAATGGTTTTTATAATATAATAAGAGTAAGGATGTATACAAGAGAACAAAAGAAAAAAGAACTGCCATAGGTCTTTCCTTATGCAACCGAAGGTTAAGCAAGACTTTCAAACTTGAATAAACTTAAATTTGAGGTTCTATTCTACTGTACCAATTGTTTTGAAAGTTCTTGAGTTCTTGAATTAAAGCTCACTTGTAATAAAGAGTGTAAACCATTTTTTTTTGCTTAAAATTACCATAAAAAAAAATTTTTTAACAAAATGGATATAATCAGGAGAGAGTTTTTTTTTTTTTTATAATTATTTTTTTTAATTTATTATTATGGTTAAAAACATATAAGAAAATATATTTGTTTATTTTTTTTATATTTGATGAATTTTAAATAATTATTTTTCAAAAATTTGATATAATAAAAATTAATATTAAATTAATTATACGTATTAATATTATTTTTTTTACTTATTTCTTTTTATAAAATTTTTTTTTCTGATTCAATTTTTTTTTTATACAGTAATACCAATATCACATGATCAAAGTTTAGATCTATAAGCATCCCCCACCAATGAAGTCAATTTTCTAGATTCGTAGTTTTTCATTCAAACACATCGACCATGGATTTTTTTAGATTTGACTTCAAAGATTTGGATTTGTCTAGGTTGGACTTCAAATTTATGGAATCTTTTAGATTGGATTTTAAAGCTCCGGACACGCCGTATAAAGAATTCGTCCTTTTGTTCTCTTGGGCTGTATACACATTTGAACAATATCTAAGGTACTTATTTTTTTGATATTCTCGCCAAAGTTGCACGTTTTTCTGATTCGAAATTTTCGTAGCGCTCGTCAGTATCGTAAACTTCAGGAGCCTAATCCACCAAAATCGCTGCAAGATATAGAGGAGGTACGCGACAAATTTCAGAAAACTCAGGCTTATGGTCTATCTAAAGCCAGATTTCAGTTCGTGTCCGAGTTATACGGTCAGTTACAGAGTACGTGGATAATTGTGTGTAACATATTGCCCGAGTTGTGGCTTTTTTCTGGAAATTTGTTGGCTTACGCCGGGTACGGGACGGAATATGAGGTTTTTTTTTTGCGTTCTTTTTGTTTTTTCAAATTAAATTGATGTGGATATCTTTCATCTGCATATGGAACCTCATCGATCATTTATTTTCTAGATCATACAGTCATTAATATTTACCGTCATAATGACCCTGATGACCTATCTGATGTCTCTTCCATTAAATCTCTACTATACTTTTATTATTGAGGAACAACATGGGTTCAACAAGATGACCGTTGGGTTGTTTTTCATGGATGTGATTAAAGGATTCTTGATTGCTGGAGTCATAGGGCTTCCTATTTTAGCGTTAGTTTTGCAAATAATACAATGGACTGGAGATAATTTCTATTTTTATGTCTGGGTGTTTATGTAAGATTTGATTTTTGGAGATTTTTGTTTCCCATTGCTCTCTGTCGTCATTCCCTTAACAATCTTCTTTAACTTTTTTTAGGATAATCTTTAATTTCATATTACTCACCATCTACCCTACTCTCATTCAACCACTGTTTAACAAAGTTGAACCACTTCCGGACGGTGAACTTAGAGAGAACATTGAAGGATTGGCTTCTCGCATTAACTTTCCCCTCAAGAAACTTTATAAAATTGATGGTAGTAAAAGATCAGG